TGCTGCAATCAAGTTGCTAAAACGAGGTCAAGTCTCCACTCTAATTAAAGAATTCTGTCCAACTAACTTTTCCTTCGAAATTTAAAATCGAATCCCATTTACTTACTAAGGGATTTTTCGAAAATCAGATTTAATTAATATACCGACTACATGTCTTTTCCCACTTTTGATGTATTTCGATTGGCTCACGCGGAACTCAGGGAGCCTCAGGCAGACGAGTCCGGATAAAAAATGACCAATGTGCCCCACCTGGTGCGGATGACGTAACCTCCTTCATGACCGGGGCCACTCGAAGGCGCATCAAAGGCGGTCTTTTGCGTGCCGAAAAGCAGGAGGGTTCGAATGGACGAGGAGAAGATGGGGAGGGAGAGGGAGAGGGAGATGATGAGGAAGAGGAGGAAGAGGAGGAGGAGGAAGAAGAAGAGGACGACGACGACGACGAGGAAGAAGACGAGGATGGGGAGGAGGAAGAAGAGGAGGAAGTAGAAGAAGTGGAGGAGGAGGTCGAAGAGGAAGAAGAGGAAGAAGAGGAGGAGGAAGAGGAAGATGAAGAAGAGGAGGGGGAGGCGGAAGAAGAGGAGCCGGATCAATTGGTTCTCCTAAGTCTTCCCGGCCCTCCTGAGCTCTCTCAAGCGCCAGTGAAGGGTCGTAGTGGTTCGGCCCATCCAGCTCGTCCCATCTCTCGGCACCAACATTCACAACAACAGCATCATCATGCTCGTCCGTCGTCTCGTCTAGTCCAGGGGGACGAAGATGTCCAGAACCAGTTGCTACATCAGCAACATCAGCAGCAGCAACAACAACAGCAGCAATATCAACAGATGACGCATGTGATACCGCCGTTCCACGGCCTACCAACAGCCGTCCGACAGACGGGATCTACAGGTCCAGTTGGACCGCCATGTTCCACCGGAACGACACGAGCCTCGGCCTCGTTGAATGGCAGCACACCGAACAGCCACGACAGCCCGAGTCTTCTTTCGCCAGGACCGGGACTCGGTTGTCCCGGCACCGGAGGCGGTAGCACCACCAGCACCACCACAGCGAGCGGAGGCGTGAGCGGACCTGGCGGTGGTACCAACTCTGGCGGGGCTGTTGGAGGAGGGACAGGAGGAGCCACCGGCGGTACCAAGCGTCGGGGTCCGAGGACCACTATCAAAGCTAAACAGTTGGACACCCTGAAGGCAGCCTTCATGGCCACGCCGAAGCCGACGCGTCACATTCGAGAACAGCTCGCCCAAGAGACTGGACTCTCGATGCGTGTGATTCAGGTGGGAGACTACACTTTTCCCAGAATGTACCAGCTCGGATATTGACAAATATTCCCTTCGGCACACAGACATCCTAGAATAGGTGGTGTAGTCATGCTCCCGATGAGCAATTACTCTAATATTGCTTGGCCGGTTTCCTCGACCATGCAAGTTAAGGGATGATTTTACCTGTAACTAAGACTTGAACTCCAACTAGGTTGCATGAAGTGGTGAACGGCTTAGTTGAATTTTCACAAAATCATATAAATAGGCTAAGAGGGGTATTATTGAGAAGGGAGATTGCATTCTACTCCAGCCTGGATGAGAATACCGTTTGGGAAGCAAGGCTATGCGAAAT